AGTCCCCAAGATAGGCCAGGCTTTTTTCCCCCGATTCTTGACTCTTCCAGGTCTCTTTCTTCTGCGAGCACTGAAAGGTGATTTCAGGTCTCAGCTGTGTGCTGGCTTGTGGGAGAGACCTCTGGACTGCTCGGCTCCTGAGCACTGTTGTGGCCTTTCTTTCAGTGAAATCTGGTGGAAACAGGACCCGCTAATGGCGCAGTGAAGGGCTGCACCGTCCTGGCTGTGATGTGATGGGTCTTTGGGGACCTGTCACCACTGTCACATGCTTAGCACATAGGCCTTTCATCGTAAGTGAAATGGCGAAAATCAAAATGCTAGGATACTGGTACTGCTATGTTCCCGTACTGATGCCTTGGGGAATTTTAGTGACTTCAGTACCGCCTGAGACTCTTGCTGTGCTGCTGTGAATCCAGTACCTACCTCCTCCTGGTGAACCAGTAGGTGCAGGTGTCTTGCCCACACAGCACTAGATAGTGATAGTATGCAGGGAGAAGTGGCCTAGAGGCTGCTGGCTCAATGCCCTCAGCTGTCCTTGAAGTGAAATCTGTTCAGGGAGGGACACCAGTGTCTGCGGGCATTGCTGCTCAAACTCTGGAACTTTTGCACCTCATCCAGTCCTAGTCACAGAGCCATCTCGCTTGTCCTCTTCTCAGGGAACTTCCATCCTGCCTGTCTTCACTGTCTGGTGGGTCACACCACACCTGCTACTGCCAAAGCTAAAGACTTAGGTCCAGCCTCCTGCAGTGCCCTCAGTTAAAATGCTCCAGCCCTGAGTGCACATGTGCAGGGCGCACGACTCGGAGACTTGTTAAACTCAGCATCTTTACCTAGCTCTGTGTGCCAGGGGAGAGCAGACAGCCTCTCCCTACCTGTGAGGCCTTCACTGCTGGGCTCTGCAGCTGGAAAGTGGGACAGTGGTCTGCACAGAGTCCAGTATCCCCTTTACAACAGTGTCCACTAACCAGTGGTCACACATGAGGCAGATGGGGTCCTGAGGCCCTCTCTACACTCCTGGCTGGAACTGGCACCCCCTCTGCACCTCAAGTGTTCCTTCGTGCCCTCATAACCTCTTGGCAGCCTGTGGCCTGACTTCTACCCTCAGCCCCATAGTGCCTTTCTTTCCTCCTGCATGCAGGACTGATGGAGGAAGGCCTGGCCTTACTCATGGTATCCACTCAGCACTGTGAGGATGGTGGCAGTCAGAGTGACCTGAGTGCTTATGAAAGCCTTTAATGGTGCTGGCTTCTAAGTTGGGTGAGCGTGTGGCCTGGAGGGGGGAGGGACAGCGGGCACTATGATGTGCCCTAGGCAGAAAGGCCTTACATAGGGCTAAGTAGAGGACTGGCAGAGGTGGTACAGGGTGAAGCAGGGGATGCCATGGCAGTGCTGTGGACATGCCTCTGGACATGTGTGAGCAGCCTGTGAATGACGATGGCCCTGGAGCCCTCTCCTCCGGCTGCTGAGTAACCCTATCCCTCTGGTCTAGTGAGAGAAGAGGCCCCTAGAGCCTAGGTGTCGATGGTAGCCCACAATGTTAGCAGCTTGGGAGTCACTTCAGTGGGGTGCTTTTTATGGTTTTGGGCCAGTGTGCTCCAGCTCTTACGGGAGCATGCCTGCAGCACTGCTGCTTCCTCAGGACTCAAGTGCTTGGCTGTGGGGTGCAGCTCGCCTGGATGCCGTGGTGCGTTTGTCACCTAGGATGACTTCTGGCTTTGGTGGCTGACTCCTGACCATGTACTCTCAGGTTTGCTGTTTTCTGCTACCTACATGGTCCCATCCTTGTGTGCCTGTGAGGTACCGGTGAGCTCATAGCATACAGAATAGAGGTCAGAGACCTCAGGATGAAAAAAGGAGGCCTTCTTGCTGAACTGGACCCAGTGAGGTTGCCTTTGTTGTAGGTGAGAAGTGACTATGATTCAGCTTGGGTCCAAACTAAAGTTAAGAAAGTTCATAGCCACATAGATCAGGAGCGGCCCCAGCTGGGTCTTGATCAAGACACTAAGTCCTGTTCTCTTGAGGCTGGAAAGACCAGCTGAAGGGATGTGGCTATTCTGTGCATTGGGGGAGGGGTACCCCATTCTGTGCAGTTTCCACTCATCTCCTGCTTAGTTTTCAGGAGAACAAGAGATGATTCACTTTACATCCCAGCATTTGTGTTTTGGATTTCAGACGTGGATTTGGCTAAGACTCTTGGGGCCTCCTGGAGGACTGGCTCTCTCAGGGGTGGGGTTACTACAAGGAGCAGGCCAAACAGTGGCCCTGGGGCCGGGTACAGATTCAAGGCTGCCCTGATGGGTGCTGCACACCTCGAGGTGAGCTTAACTGAGGCTGACAGTGGTGCATGCCAAACAAGGTCTTGGGGCGCCAGCCAGCAGACTTAAGTGGTGTGATGCCCGTGAGTCCTGTAGTACACCTCTAGTCTGAGGTCACAGCATCACACAACGGAAACTTTCTACAAGTTTCTTCTGGAAGCAGGGTTTCCTTTCTGCACTGCTCTGTCCCAGGGTCTGAGTTCTATGTGTTTTGTAGGAATCAGTCTCCAGGCAGGTGACCGTTGTAGGTTTAATTCACTTGACAGCTTCCGGGTGGGCCCAAGTGTTGTATTAGAACAGACTTTCTCCTGGAGCGGGGCCCTGAACCCTTGAGTTGGCTGGGAAACCTATGGCATGACTTTTAGTCTGGTGAGGTTGTAGTGTGCCCTGGACTTCCTCATGGGACAAGGGCTCTGGCCCTGCTCTGTGCCAGGTGCTGTCCCTTGCTTTTAGCTCATTCTGTTACCATCTGGGACCAAATGTCCCTCTGAGAGTATAAGATGCTTGCCCTCAACAGTCACAGAATGTGTAGAGGTGGGCAGTCCATTGCCAGGCTGTGCACCGAGTCTGGAATCTTTTTTCCGGCTTGGCCTTTGTGGGGTACTGGAGAATCTTCCTTGTGTTTTTCTTATATTGCCTCTCAGGGTGACCAGGACTTCTCACCCTTAGCTTGCATGAGGGACATAAGCACAGTGCTGTTAGGACCTTGACGTCCTGGTAGTGTCTCACACCTGACTGACTCTACATGCAGAAAAAATATTTCCTTTTCTCCTTTTAAAAATTGTATTTTATTTTCAAGACAGGATCTCACTGTGGCACCCTGGCTTGCTTGGAGTTTTCTATAGATCAGGTTGGCCTTAGACTCTTATGTAGACCTGACTGGCCTTGGCCTTGAAGAGATCTGCTTCTCTCTACCTCCTGTTTCATTACAGTTGGCCTGGAAAGGCTGTTTCTTAATATGAACCTGCGACTGTCATGCAGCTCAGCAGTGGGTGCCCGCCCAGAAGTCAGTAGACAGCTTCCCTAGAGGAAATGGCTCTACAGTTGGGAGCACTGTCTGCTCTTGCACAGGACCTAGGTTCAATTCCCAGCACCAATGTGCTACACCTATCTGTACCTCCAAGATCTGATAACCCCACACAGATATACATGCAGGCAAAATCCCAATTTTTTATTTTATTTTATTTTTTTAAGAAGCAGCAGCTGAGTCAGGACCACTGAGACATCACCTTCCTTCCCAGCCCTGGGATACAGTCCAGCCTCTGTCCACAGTGGGGACCATCTGACAAAATTCCAGGCCAGGCACCACATGGGGTGGGGATTCGGGGGCTCACAAACACATGGGAAAGAGGACAGAGTGACTAACAGCGCATGCATGGTCATAGTAGGCATCAGCTGCATGGTCACTGGAATGATGGCGCAAGACCACCCTAGGATTCCATCTCAGCCCCATTTACATGGCTGGAAGACACCATGTATGGCAGAGACAGGCAGAAATCTGAGCTCTTGTGCCCATGTGGAGGATGGAAAATGGTGTGGCCTTGGGAGAATTGATGGCTCCTAGGAGCAGCAGGTGTGAAGGTGTGTGGGCCGGAGAATTGGTCCCTGTAGTAGGCACAGTTCTGGCAGTCACGATAGCCTCCTAGCCCCGCTTCGCCTTTTCTCAGGCCTGTAAGGACTTCTGTGTTAACCTTCAGATGAGCTTCTGTCTAGCAAGGCTGGGTTTTGAGGGAGGTGAGGGTCCTAAGCTGGTGTCCCACACAGGTCGTGGCTCAGGGAAGTGAGCCAGTCAGGTTCTGTCCCACTTACAGGCACTCCCTAGTATCCTTGTACACAGAAAGTGCATAATGGTCATAGCTCTGGAGAAGGAAGTATTTAGTGGCCATCATGGGACAGGCCTGTCATGGGGTGAGAAATAATGCCACTGATACACTTATGTGCTTACTTAAAAACAACCCCGGTGCAGCCCAACCTGGAACCTATAATAATCCTCCTACCTCCATACCTGGCTTACTCTATGACTTGAGGTTTTTGGTTTGGTTTGGTTTTTGTCGCAGTTTTAAAGGGACTCTTTGCAATGGCCTCTTGTCATCTAGAAATTGGGGCATTGGGGCCAGGACTGGAGAGAACGCTGGTAGAGCTCCTGCTGATACATGATATCCTGGCTCTGTCCCAGTACTGAGGAAGACGAGTCCGAACTTACTTTGGACTTTTCTTGTCTAAAACCGCTTCTAGACCACAGAGCACACTCCCCGTGTCTGCCTCTGGAGTCAGTATAGACATGGGGTGACTGCGGCCTGACGAGTACACACAGACAAATGACCCAGCCATATAGGTGCATCTCGGTAGTGTTGGGAATCGCCCTGGGAATCCTGGCCTCTCATGGGCACCCTGTCTTTAGGATCTGAGAAGTGACTTGCAAATGCCTGCCTGCGGCTTGCAAGGCTCACATCCACAAGTGTCAGCTGGGGGCGGGGGACTGAATGGTGGGAACCTGTTGCTGAAGCACATGACTGATGGGTGGCGAGGGCTCACCATGGTTGATGAGGAGGTGTCTGTTTCTATCTCTTGGGTCTGAGTCCTGGTGCTCGGCCTGGGGGCTTTTCTACTTCTGGGCCCCTGGAGACACCCAGCTAGGGGAAGGAGCTAGTGCTCTGGGGATGGGGTTCCTGGGGTTATGGAGCCATGCCTCAGGCTCGCCGAGGCAGCGTGGTCTCGGTGGGATTTCAGTGCAGACATCCTGTGCTGTGACTCTGAGGCCCTCCCTGGGCCTTGCTTCTGCCTTATCCTGCAGCACCTTCGTGGTGGTTTGACTCAGGCTTGTGCCTTTGTGGTACACAACTTTTCCTAGGGTGTGTGTGATGGGTTTGTTCCTGTGCACCTCAGCTGTGCAGATAGTTTCTCTTGACTGCTTAGCTATGAACTCCATGACTGGGGGCCATCAGGCTGAGTGGCACCCTTTGGGATTGTGTTCTACTGTAGGTTGGACCAGAGGGCATCTTGCAGAACGGGGCTGTGGATGACAGTGTGGCCAAGACCAGTCAGCTGCTGGCTGAGCTCAACTTTGAAGAAGACGAAGAAGACACGTACTATACCAAGGACCTCCCAGTCCATGCCTGCAGGTAGGCTAGGAGGTGGCTCCAGTCCCTATTATTTGTCAGAACCCTGGACTTAGTACCTGACACCCCGAGTTCACGTAGCTCTGGGGGTTCTCCTGCACCGGCCCTTCTTGGTGGTTAGGAGCTAGAGAGGACCCAGGGAGTGTGTGGGTTGGGCTGTGTGATCAACTACGGTTCTAACCCCCATCAGAGTCATATGAGGGAGTGGAGGCTTAAAGAGTTGGAAAGTCTCAGCTCAGCTACCTAGTTCTCTTAGTCTTCATCGTCCTCCACCCCCCCCCGCCCCCACCCCCACCCCCCCCAGAGCTGGTGCCTTCACTGGAGCTTCTGCAGCCACCTGCTGCCTCTGCAGGGCGAGTTTGGCCTCTCTCCTCCACAGACCTTCCTTTCTCATGGCGCTCCTGATTTACATGTGTTTTCCAGAGCCCCTGGGCAGGCTGAGCTGGGTGCCCTAGTCCTCCTTTCTGCCACAGTAGACTAGTGAGCCAGCGAGAGCATGTTCTGGTCTGACAGCTCTTGCCCCAGCCTGCCCAGTGCACAACAGAGGTATGGAGAACCTGTGACTTAGGGTGCATAGGGTGCTGCATAGCACCACCAGCCTTTGAGCCAGGCCTGAGAGTTTGCTGGGTCCACAGTGCCTTCTGCTGAAGTCAGGTACTCCCCTGACCACACCTTGTTTCTAACCTGCAATCTGAGGGGAGGGGCCAGACCGCTTTGGCCTGTGCTGCCTGGCATCCGTGTTGCCCTCACCCTTCTGTGTTAGTGGAGGCGACTTTGTTACTTGACTTGCTGGTGTTGTGTTTAATGGAAACCAGAAGCTCTGTAAGAAGGACTTATCCCAGAGGCTGCGGGCCAGCACTGACTGCTGGAGTTTGGACTTTTCCAGTTACTGCGGAATCCATGATCCTGCCTGCGTGGTTTACTGCAATACCAGCAAGAAGTGGTTCTGCAATGGCCGAGGAAATACTTCTGGCAGGTAGCTGACAGCCATGCATGTGTGTTTAATCAGTGGCGCTTGGGCTGCAGTGAGTTACGATGACGTTGGAGTGAAGCGTGGAATGTGATGGCGCTGGTGAACCTGGGCTCCCTCTGACTGGTGTAACGTGAAACAGATGGTGGCGTGTGAACGCCTCGGCATGTTTACCCTTGATTGATTCTCTGGCTGGCTCATTCTGTGAGGAGTTTGGCTTAATTTCGTTCTTAGTCTGTGCCTGTCTCTCATGAGATGAGGCTGATACAGCCTACTTGTCCTTGTTCCTGGGAGGTTACGGGCATCCAGTTGGCGCCCCTCTGGGGCAATTGGTTCCAGATCCTAAGTCATTAGGAAGAACTAGAGTTGTCACCATCCCTGGGTGTTCCTACTGAGCCCCACTCCATTCTGGCTTTTCATAATGATGACAGGGTCCTCCCACTCCTTGAGATAATCAGAGCTGAGTCTGGTGTGCCTGTGCTCCACTGCCAGCAGGGGTCTGTTTCTCAGAACATATATTAGAATGCCACAGAAGCTTGTAGGTGCCAGGTCTGCAGAAAGGTTGGGAGGCAGGAGCCAGCATCTTTAAATGGTCTTATTCATCCTCTGGGACCAACGCATCCCATTCTCAGAAGGTTCTAGATACTTTAAGTGTTGCTACATTGGCACCAGTTCCTCCTGTGCAGAAAAAGCAATAGAATAAAGCTCACAGTAGGCAAGAAGGGCCTGTCCTGGATTGGGATGGGGAAAATTGGCCACTTAAGCAAGGCATCTAGTGGCCACTGTTAAAGAGGAGTCAGGTCTACAAAGCCAAGAGTGGCTGAATGGCTGCCAGAGGACTCTGGTGAAGGTTGTAATGGTGTCTTGCAAGATTAGCATCCCCTATAACAATCAGGAACAGCTGGCAGAGTTCATGGACCCTCTGGGATGAGCTGACCAGTTTGGCACAAGCCACCCTTGAGGTAGACCATGTCGTCGAATGTGGCAGCATGGAAGGAATGCGAGCTGCAGTCTTCAAAGCAGCCCTTTGCTGCATAGATTAGGAGGTGACCTGCAGGTAGGCATGGGAGAAAGGGGCCTCTTTTGGGGAGCCATACTATGCCCACCCAGCCATTAGTGGTATTAGAGGATCATGAACTGGGCCAGCTAAAGAAAATGGGAATGTAAGAAATTGCAGGGATTGTGAGCCAATGAATGGTTTCCTGCAGGCAGATGGGTTGGGGCAGGAGGTGTGACCACCTGTGTTAGAGGACCATGAAAGGTAGTACCCAGAGCATTTCCACGGGGGCCATAGATCTGCAAATGGTGAAAAGCCAGGCTTGGGGTGTTAACTGCCACTGTTTTCCTGGTTCCAGCCACATTGTAAATCACCTGGTGAGGGCAAAATGCAAGGAGGTGACGCTGCACAAGGATGGGCCCCTGGGTGAGACAGTGCTGGAATGCTACAACTGCGGCTGTCGCAACGTCTTCCTGCTGGGCTTCATTCCTGCAAAGGCTGACTCGGTAGTGGTGCTGCTGTGCAGGTGAGCTGCCTGTAGCAGCACAGGACTGGGTGGGACAGGGACTGTTGGGATCCAAGGGGCTTTTATGTGTATATTCTGGTCAAATTAGAAAATGAAGTCTGATCTTGTATAGTGGTTCAGGCTTTTAATTCCAGCACTTAGGAGGCAGAGGCAGGAGGACCTCTTGAGTTCAGGGCCAGCCTGGTCTACATAGAGTGTCCAGGACCAGCTACATAGTGAGACCCTGTCTCCAAAAAACTGAAAAAAGGAAGGAAGCAAGTCTACTGTGAGCTGGGGCCAGAGCTGAGGTGTGCGGATGCTGCTGGCTTCTGGCTAGTTAGAGACCTCCTGGGCCAAGTCCCAACCAGTTCTCTTGCCCCACACCTGCACAGGCAACCCTGTGCCAGCCAGAGCAGTCTAAAGGACATCAACTGGGACAGCTCCCAGTGGCAGCCCCTAATCCAGGACCGATGCTTCCTATCATGGCTGGTCAAGATTCCCTCAGAGCAGGAGCAGTTGCGGGCACGGCAGATCACTGCACAGCAGATCAACAAGCTGGAGGAGCTGTGGAAGGTGAGCCAACCAGAGAGGTTAGCCCAAGGCTGCAGAGACACAGAAGCACACAGCCAGCCTGACACTGGGGCTTTTGGGACATGGGGAGGAAAGACATGGCCTGGGGAACTTGCGGGGGCTAGTGGGTCTTTTTGCTGGCTGAAGGAGACAGAGTGGATGGTCTGAGTAGTTGGTTGAGGCTGTCATGAGATTTCCTGCTGCAGTGAGCATCTGTCCCAGAGGATGAGTCAGGGCTGGAGGTCAGGTGTGGGACTCTGGCTCCTACTGGAACTATCTGGATTGTTCAAATCTTGCTAGGGATGTCACTTGAGCATCCTTTAACCAGGAATCACAAGTAGTGTGGGACAAAGATGTTGTAAGCCTTTCCAGCTTAGTCTCTTTGCACTTGGATGGTCAGGTTCCAGTTACTGTGATGTACCTAGATTCTGTTCTGTTTCCCACAGTGGGGTTTATTGAGCTCAGTGGGTCTCAGGGGAGGCATGTGGGTGCAGAAATGTAAGAGATGGATGGACCTGGCTCACTGGGGGGTGTCCAGGACTCTAAGAGCCCTTGGTTGTGGACCTAGTGTTGCTCTGGGCCCTGGGGGTGCTCTTTACAGATTTCTTGGGGTCAGAATGCTACCGGACATGCCCACAACAGTAGGTTTAGAGCATAGACTCACAGCAAAGTGGCCATTCTCCACCCATGAGGATTTGTGCTCAGAGGCCACGCAAGCCCCAGATGGGTTCCTTCTGAGCTCTCGATTACTGGCCATGGGTTAAGCAGGGCGAGCACAGCACTATCTTTGGCCACAGGAAAACCCTTCAGCCACCCTGGAGGACCTGGAGAAGCCCGGCGTGGATGAGGAGCCACAGCACGTGCTCCTGCGGTATGAGGATGCTTACCAGTACCAGAACATCTTTGGGCCCCTGGTCAAGCTAGAAGCTGACTACGACAAGAAGCTGAAGGAGTCACAGGTGATGTGGTGCGGTGTGTAGGCTGGGTCTCTAACAGAGTCTTCTGAGGGTCAGGGGCTCTTCTAGGGCTTGAACCTGGATGGAACCAGAAACACAGACAGCATCAGACCAGAACTGTGGGCATTTTGAAAGAAGGCTAAAAGTGTTTCTTACTTTTAAAGTCAGAGAGAACCCCTTGTGTCTGGTTCACAACTTTGTCTGCAGCTCCAAGAACATTTCTGGGAGGTGGGCCCCATGCCACCAGTCCCCCAGGCACCTTCTCCCCACAGATTCTGGCGTGCAGGGCTCTCCTGAGGCTCTTTGCAAAGTCTACTGCTGGGGCCAGCTTGGGCAGCGGGTGTGGGGGGGGGGGGGGGGGGGTGTTTGTTGCTTCTTTCCCAGATGTTGGAGTTCCTGGCTGCGCAGTACAGGCATGGCCTCCCTAGAGGCCCCGTCCTATGGGGAGCCTGGCTCATGAGTGGCTGGTAGGCTAACTTGGCCCCTATTTCTCATATGTTCAGACTCAAGATAACATCACGGTCAGGTGGGACCTGGGCCTTAACAAGAAGAGAATCGCCTTCTTCACTTTGCCCAAGACTGACTCTGGTAATGAGGATTTAGTCATAATTTGGTTAAGAGGTGATTGTAAGTTTTAAAATATTTGTGACCATAAGTAGCCTAAAATCCCTAGTCCCCCGTATCACGTTCTTTTGTGAACTCTGCATGGTGGAGGCCACGGCCCTCTAGAAAGTGCTAACTCTGCTGCTCCTTCCTGCAAGATATGCGGCTCATGCAGGGCGACGAGATCTGTCTGCGGTACAAAGGGGACCTAGCACCCCTATGGAAGGGGATTGGCCATGTCATCAAGGTCCCCGATAGTATCCTTTGCTACATCAGCGGGAGGATGGGTGCCATAACAGGACTCCTGGCTGTCCCCAAGCCTTAACATGTGTGATTCCTTCCTGTCTTCCCTCTGTGTGGGACATGCACACGGTGGTACTATATATGCCCCACCTCAATGTTATTTGTGTGTCTCTGTGCACGTGCGTGTGCGTACACGTCTCTCTGTGTAATAGCCTGGAGTCAGACTACAGCAGTCCCCTTGGCCGACACCAAGGGGAACTGGTCTAGTGATGGATGGAGTGTCACTCAGGAGAACCAGAAGCCAGTGGCCCTATAGAGGGTAGCGGCTTTGAACAGGAAGCAGACTTAACTCAGCGTCCAGATTACGGTGATGAGATTGCTATTGAGCTCCGCAGCAGTGTGGGTGCGCCTGTGGAGGTGACCCATAACTTCCAGGTGGATTTTGTGTGGAAGTCAACCTCTTTTGATAGGTTTGTCCGCCTATGCCCCAGGGTGATAGGGCCATGGGGACCCCTCCACCTCCATCCAGTACCTGTGGCCCACATGGATCCTCCACTGGCTCTTCCTACAGGATGCAAAGTGCACTGAAGACCTTTGCTGTGGATGAGACCTCTGTGTCAGGATACATCTACCACAAGCTGCTGGGCCACGAGGTGGAGGATGTGGTCATCAAGTGCCAGCTGCCAAAGCGCTTCACAGCTCAGGGGCTCCCTGACCTCAACCACTCTCAGGTGCCACTGGGACCCTAGGAGCAGGGCCTGTGGGCGTCTGTAGTGACCATAGCTCTGCTGAAACAACATCCTTGCAGGTGTATGCTGTAAAGACCGTGCTGCAGAGACCCCTCAGCCTCATCCAGGGCCCGCCAGGCACAGGGAAGACGGTGACATCCGCCACTATTGTCTACCACCTTGCTCGGCAGGGCAATGGGTAGGTGCTCAGTAGCAACAGCCTTGTGGGTGGGAGGGGGGCTGTTGCCTGGGCCACGGAGAAAGCGCGTGCAGTGTTGTAATACAGTTACTTTGTGTATCCCAAAGCCACATGGCTGCCTCACATGAATGAAAGGGTATGGGCGGCGTTCAGATTATGGTGGCTGGGTAGGGGACAGGAAACTTTACTTGCTCTGCCTTGGCATGGCTGCGCCTGCTGGAATCAGAGCTGTGCAGCTCCGCTTTTGGCCTTTGTTGAGCTTCCCTTGGTTATACTGACAGCCCACTCCACTCTGTGCAGGCCTGTGCTGGTCTGTGCCCCAAGTAACATCGCTGTGGACCAGCTCACAGAGAAGATCCACCAGACAGGACTGAAGGTTGTACGCCTCTGTGCCAAGAGCCGGGAGGCCATTGACTCCCCAGTGTCCTTCTTGGCTCTGCACAATCAGATCAGAAACATGGACAGGTGAGTATCTGCATCTGGGGGCTTGGTACAGGCTGCACCCTGCCATTGGCGCTGACTCCTGTGTGTTCTGTAGCATGCCTGAGCTACAGAAGCTGCAGCAGCTGAAGGACGAGACAGGTGAACTGTCGTCTGCGGATGAGAAGCGGTACCGGGCGCTCAAGCGCACAGCTGAGAGAGAGCTGCTCATGGTGAGTGTGGCGCCAGCCCAGGAGCCTTGGGGGCTGTTTCCTGTGGGCAGAAAGGCTTGAGAGACTTGTCCGAGTCAGGAGCATGGGAGCATTTGAAGGCCCCTGGTCTCTACATCTGTGCCCACAATCAGGGACACACAGCTGCTACTTCTGTCAGCCCCCTGGTTCTAACAAGCCAGGCTACCAAAGCTGGAGTCTCAGCCCTGGGGTTCTACCAGCTCGGCACTGTCCTGCAGACAGAGAGCTGTTTCTGTGCCCCAGAGGGTTGTTCCACTTCGAACATTCCTGCTCATGGTAGCCTGTGCTGGGGAGTGTGCCCCAGAGGGCTGTACCACCTTGAACATTTCTGCTCATGGTAGCCTGTGGTGCTGATATTTGGGTGGCAGAAGGAGTGGTTTGTTTAGTTGGGGAACTGCTTGTGGAAAGCCAACCTGGGGCAACACAGCTAACTCCGTCAGGAAAACATACACTCACACACAGTTGCTGAGTGGATATTGAGCAGGGCGACTGCCGTGGTAAGGTAGACTGCATGTGGGCCCTTACGCCTGTGCTTCTCCAGAACGCAGATGTCATCTGCTGCACCTGTGTGGGTGCTGGTGACCCAAGGCTGGCCAAGATGCAGTTCCGTTCCATCCTTATTGATGAGAGCACCCAGGCCACTGAGCCTGAGTGCATGGTGCCTGTGGTTCTTGGGGCCAAGCAGGTAGGTAGCTGCCACTTGAGTGGCTCCTGATGTCCTGTCCTGTAGCAGTGCTGGGTGGGTGGCACAAGATGTGCAAGAAGTCCATGTGGTCCGCTGCTGCCACTTCCTGCTGTGCAGTGTGAGGACAGTGCGCACTCACAGTCTTGCTTTTGGATGGTGGAGGTGAACCCCAGTCGGGGGAGGGGGCACTGGGCTGGCTAGAGCCTGAGGTGTTGACTTGAGGGACTTCTTGCCACAGCTGATCCTCGTGGGCGACCACTGTCAGCTGGGCCCTGTGGTGATGTGCAAAAAGGCAGCCAAGGCCGGACTGTCACAGTCGCTCTTCGAGCGCCTGGTGGTGCTTGGCATCCGGCCCATCCGCCTGCAGGTGCAGTACCGCATGCACCCCGCACTCAGCGCCTTCCCATCCAACATCTTCTACGAGGGCTCATTGCAGAATGGTGTCACTGCAGGTAACAGTTGGGCCTCCCTAACTCACACCAGCACTTTCAGCACAGTGTTGCTGGGCCATGTGCTCCGGAGTATGTGGTGACCACACAGAGCTGGTCTGTTATGGCAGGCTTCCTGCTGGAGAGTTCTCTTCCACAATGGCCAGGACACACACTGGCTCTAACCCCCGTGGCTGTTGGCTTCATGCTGGGTGGTGAACTAAGGGCTTCACAGAGGCCCTGGACAGTCCCAGGCTGTGCACCTCAATCAGCCACCACAACAAAGGCAGATACCAGCCTGGGCCCAGCTGTCGTCCATGCAGTCTGACTGTGGAGTAGAGGGATTTGACCACAAGGAAGAGGCCACTATCTCGTTTTAGCAGTATAAAGTTATTTCTCATAAAAATTTATAACATCTTTAATCCCAGCACTCAGGTAGCCAGAGCTACCACAGTGAGACCCCATTTCAACACACACACAGCTTCAGCAGTGGGTTTATTTCTCAGTGAGTCCATGTGGATTTGAGTGCCTGCATTTGATGAATTCAGACGGAGAGTGCAGCTCAGATCTGTGCCGTGTGGCCTGGCATGGGAATCCCAGCAGCCATAGGCAGGGAGGCCACTGCTCTGCCAGCTGTGGCCTATGCTGCTGCCCAAGTATGGGAGCATTCCCTGGGAGTTTCCTGTTCTCTGCTGCTCCTTACGACTCAGGTGTCACAGTTGAGATGCTGGGAGAGGCCTGCATGTCCCTGGCTAAGCTGTACCAGGACAGACCCTGCCTGGTGGGCACCAGAGAGTTCCTCTGGTACCATGGCCTGCCCCCACCTAGGTTGTGTGTGCCTCTGTGGGTGGCTGTTATGCCCCAAACTCCAATGACAAGTTCAAAGGACCATGCTATGCTTCCCTGGTACACTGGAGGGCCTAGGGCAAGGTGCCCTCCAGTGCCAGCTTCCTTCACTAGTGAGGGGCTGTGACACATTTGACCCTTGGGAGGAAGGTCCCTGGTAAGGGATAAGCTGATAGGAGTGGATTTAGCATCTAGGGTGTGAGGATCACACCCTATTTATTCAGTGGGAAGCCTGAATAAACCTAGAGTAGTGGCAGCCAAGGGGTGCAGTGCGGCGCCTAGGTCAGCAGGGTATTGATGGATAGGCCCAGGATTGATGTGAGGATCAGGGTCTGTAGACAAACTTGCTTGTGACAGGTGCCACTCACTGGTCTCACTGTCATGGCTCTGGATCCCCTAAATTGCAGTGGTGTAGCCTCTAGGGAACTGAGAATGTCTCCTGTTCCTAGTGATGCCTTAAACAGTGTTGGCCTGGTCCCTTGGCTGCCCTCTTCTGGCTCGGGAGCCCTGGAGACAGTACCACTGGCACGGTGACCTCACTTTTCTCAAGTGTCTGTGCACTTAGAGCCCTGGTGTTTCTCAGCAGTGACGCTTCTGTCTTCCCCGACACAGCGGATCGTGTCAAGAAGGGCTTTGACTTCCAGTGGCCACAGCCTGACAAGCCCATGTTCTTCTACGTGACACAGGGCCAGGAGGAGATTGCCAGCTCTGGCACGTCCTACCTCAACAGGTGTGCAGCTTCGGCCCGTGCCCCATAGCATCTCATTCCCTGGGTTGCTGTTCTTGTCAGTGAAGGGAAGGTGTGGGTGACCGTCACGTGCTCTCCAGTTCCCCCGTGGTTGCTTTAAATTGTATCAGGCTGGGGACAGGCTGTAGGGAGCCTGTCATTGACAGCCAGATGTTCTTAGGACGGAGGCAGCTAATGTGGAGAAGATAACTACAAAGCTGCTGAAGGCAGGTGCCAAGCCTGACCAGATTGGCATCATCACACCCTACGAGGGCCAGCGCTCCTACCTGGTGCAATACATGCAGTTCAGTGGCTCCCTGCACACCAAGCTCTACCAGGTAGGCTGTCAAAGGTGCCCTGAGGGCCAGAGCTGAGTGCAGCTTTCCTGGTGACCAGAGACGACTGCACATAGTAGAAGAAAAGGGCAAGTCCTGTTGTCACATGCTGTGGGGTATGTGCAAGGGCACAGCAGATAATGCATTAAAAGGTGCCTTGGCGTGTTGAGCAGCGAGAAGCAAGCACATGACCACACATTGCCAGCATCATGGGTGAGGCTGCCTGATGTGCTGCAGGTCAGAGTAGCTTCTGGGCTGGTGTGTGATGAGTGCTGCCTTTGATGTCAGCACCCTGCCGGCACAGAAGAGCAGAGTGAGCCCCAGGACTGCCAGGGCTACACAGTAAGACTTTGTAGTAGAGCAGGACAGTTGGTGCCACCTAGGGGACGTGGTACTTGCACCCTAACGGAAGCTCAGCACAGTGTCCTGAACATGTGACAGATGTGGAGCTCTGGTGATCTTATGTTGGGTTGTACCAGGGATTGTACCATGCAGTCTCCACTTCTCCATCCCTGGGGACGTGTAACAGCCAAGCGACGAGGCAGGACTGTGGCTGACAGGGCATTGTCTCATTCAGGAAGTGGAGATTGCCAGTGTGGATGCCTTCCAGGGCCGGGAGAAGGACTTCATCATTCTGTCCTGTGTGCGTGCCAACGAGCACCAGGGCATTGGGTTCCTGAATGACCCCCGGCGTCTCAATGTGGCCCTCACCAGAGCGAGGTAGGCAGCTGCCCATTGCTACCTTCCACCAGCCAGCAACAAGAAGCCCCTTCCTTTGCCCCACTCTCCGTGTCTGTCCTGGAAGTGTGCTCAGACCTGGTGTGTCCCTGCGTCTCTGGTATCCTGTCCTTCTTTTTCTGCTTGGGTCATGATTGGTTCCAGTTGCTCAGCTTTTTAATGTTTTACCTCATTTATTGACCAGTGTTGGGTTCTTGGCACCCAGCTCTTAATATTCAGGGTGCCAACCCTAGACACTGCAGTCATGTGGGTGTGGCCCTGAGCTCTTAGCATGTCTGTTGCCCTACAGATATGGTGTGATCATTGTGGGTAACCCAAAGGCGCTGTCAAAGCAGCCACTGTGGAACCACCTGCTGAGTTACTACAAGGAGCAGAAGGCGCTGGTGGAAGGGCCGCTCAACAACCTGCGTGAGAGCCTCATGCAGTTCAGCAAGCCTCGCAAGCTCGTCAACACCGTCAACCCGGTGGGCCAACGGGCTGGCCCAGGGCCTGGGAAAGCTGGGAGCTCTTAGCCCCTGCTGCTGTTGACTGACACATTCCTCGCTCTTGTGCCACCCTGCAGGGGGCCCGCTTCATGACTACAGCCATGTATGATGCCCGTGAGGCCATCATCCCTGGATCTGTCTATGACCGCAGTAGCCAGGGTAAGTTTTCCTGGCAACCACCAGTATGTTGACCTTCCCATGTCCCAGTCTGGACCTGCCAACCCCTGGGTGGCCTCCCAGACTCAGTCCTTGACCTCCATTTAGAGCTTTCCCAGTTGGTCAATGTGGCTTCTCCAAGCAGGTCCTTGGGCCCCTTCTAAGACCCCCAGAGCTGCCTCTGCTAGGATTTGTACCATTGTCCCTCTGCTGCCACAGGGGCCACCTGTCTGCAGTCAGCTGCCTGAGTACTACTGCCCTGTGTACCCTGAGGCAAGCCTGTGTGTACCTCAGTCAGACTGGCCTCTGTTTTCTAGAAGATTCTGAATTGCCTAGAAACTCCTTATGGACAGAGTCTCACCTACCTCTCAGTCTCTTACCCTCTACTAGCACTCACACTCAGCAAACACACTCAGCCCCCGTCTGCTGGTCTGCTTGACTGGCCTAGCATCTACCACTGCACTGTGGCCCTGCCTCTGACTCCTGGTGTCTTGCAGGCCGGCCCTCAAACATGTACTTCCAGACCCACGACCAGATTGGCATGATCAGTGCAGGTCCCAGCCATGTGGCCGCCATGAACATCCCCATTCCCTTCAACCTGGTCATGCCTCCCATGCCACCGCCTGGGTACTTTGGACAGGCCAACGGGCCCGCTGCTGGTAAATGGCTTTATCCCTGCCCTGGGTCCTCTCTGAACGCCAGGCTTTTAGGTGGAGCGTGCAGTCTTTCACTGCTGTCTTTCAGGCCGAGGCACCCCAAAAAGCAAGACTGGCCGTGGAGGCCGCCAGAAGAATCGCTTTGGGCTTCCAGGGCCCAGCCAGACCACCCTTCCCAACAGCCAGGCCAGCCAGGATGTGGCCTCACAGCCCTTTTCGCAGGGCGCCCTCACCCAGGGCTATGTGTCCATGAGCCAGCCCTCCCAGATGAGTCAGCCCGGCCTTTCCCAGCCAGAGCTGTCCCAGGTTGGGCCCTCAGCAGCACAGGGTGGAGGGGGAGAGGAGGGGTGCGGGACCCTGCCTGGACTGTGCTGTGGGCCCTGGGCCTGTCACCCTGCCACACAGTATGGGTTTCTTCCCAGACTCCAGAGAATGAGGGTTGGTGGGAGTCCTGCCTTGCTCACTCTAGCTTTCCCTTTCAGGACAGCTACCTCGGTGATGAGTTTAAGTCACAGATTGACGTGGCACTCTCGCAAGACTCCACTTACCAGGGAGAGCGGGCATACCAGCACGGCGGGGTCACCGGGCTGTCCCAGTACTAGAAGGCAAGTGCCCTAGTGGGCTCAACCCCCTGTAACCAAGTACAGATGAATGTGGGGTGTGGGCAGGTTCTGCTTCTGCTTGGCCATGACACCCCTCACCCCTGTCCCTGATTACAGGTGGCGGCGAAAGAGCTAAGCTATGTGGCTTAGTCTATCAGCATCTTATTCTGGGTAATAAAAAATAAAAATAAATGGATACCTGTTTTCCACTGCTAAAACTGAAGCACCACTGTGTGAGCAGCCGAGGAGAGGAGAGGAGAGAGGAGCGAGAGCGAGCGGAGAGCGGCCAGGGAGGACGACGGAGTGGAGCGCCGAGGAGCGGGCGCCCCCTGCGGGCGGCGAGAGGAGAGAGGCCCGCACCGCTACGAGGCCGGCCCGGCGCCGAGCCCGCCAGAGGGAGAGGCCTCGCCAGGACCGGCCCGCTGTTCTTTTTCTTTGTTTCTCGTGATTTGAGGGGCTATGTTTTAGCAGGACGAACTTAGCGTTTCTGTGCCCGAGCGGGCGGCCAGGAGCGTCATGGCGCGGTCCCAGCGCAAAGGGGTTTCATTTAAAGAAAATATGGTGTTTGGGTTTTTTGTTTTGTTTTTTCTTTTTTTTTTTTCAAGAATTCTTTCAAAGGAGTATGGGAAGTAATTTGATCAGTTGTCTCTAAGACCTTAGTGGTGGACCTAGGAGATGCAAGAAGTTTCCAGAGAGGCCGCGCTAAGAAGCCTGAGCCCCGCAGCCTGGGATCACCGCCTGCACCATGGCCAGAGGATTTGTTTTGCGTTTGAGCTTCAGAGGCTGCAGGCAAACTCCTGAGCGTGACCAATGCGTGACGGCCTGCGGGTTCTTCCCGTCGTGGGTGGAGGTCTCATTGCTGGGCGCCCTGCCACGGCCCCCCAACCTCCCGCAGCGGCCACCATACCCCTACCCAGGCACACCTGCGCCAACGCAATGGAACTTAATTTTTGGTCAAATTTGTTTTAAGCTTTTTGTCACCAATAAAACATGAACAAATGGTCCTTGCTTTCGCGTGGGGCCGTCCCTGCAGGGGTGTCCCGGGTAGTTAGCGGCAGCCACACTCGTCCACCACCATGTCCTCGTAGTGTCGCAACACCACATTATCGCTGTTGTCGAAGAAGAGCACGGAGATGGGCGACAGGCGCGCGGGCACGCAGCAGGGCGGGCCCACGCCCGAAGTCGGGGCTGCCGCGTGCATGAGCGCATGCAGCACGGCGTGGTTGAGCACGGGCGGCCCACTGGGTCCCTGTAGCGCTTCAGGCAGCGTACACGCGCCCTGGCAGAAGTTAGCCAAGAAGCCGCGCGGTGCAATCACCCAGTGGTGCCAGCCCATCTCCCGGAAGCTCACGTGCAACCGTCTTGTGCGACACGCGCCCCCGGGACCACCGCCCACCCCTTGCTCGGTGTGGCGCCGCAATCGCGGCGGAGGGCACAAGCGCGCGTCTAGCGTCACCAGCAGCAGCGAGGCCTCAGCCAGCCGCGCGCAAACAGTGGTGGCTCCACGGTGCAGCGCCAGCGCCAGGCGCAGGGTGCGGGGCATTGACGCGTTGGCGGCTACCGCGGCCCCCAGTAGGTCTGCGCGTACTGGCAGCCCGGGTGCCACAGGCACGCGCAGCAGCTCAGGCCCGGGAAGCTCGGCCTTGGCTGACAGTGCCACGCTTAGCTCCCACCCATGCGTATCTTCGTTCTCAGCCTCCAGCCGCAACTCCAGACGCGCACGTGTTGGGTGCTCGGCAGGCTCCACACCCGACAGGTCGAAGGTGACAGTCCACTTGGGGCACAGCCCCGAGGTCCTGGTGGGTCCTGGGGGTCTGGAGAACAGACCTGAAAGGACAAGGAGAGAGCGGACATAGCGTGGCGTCCCAGACAACGGGCTGAAACGAGGAGGAAGGGGAGCAAAGAGAGGCAGGGGCGCATCTGCAGGGCACTGATGACGGATGGGTGGGGGCAGGGCGCCAGATACAAGGAAGAGACACTGTGGGGTGCCGTGCCTGTACTTGGAGACAGGGGCAGATGGAGATGAGCCAACCAGCACCTAGGGCCCCCGGAAAATGACCCGAAGGAAAGCATCAAAGGGTGTGAGGTCTGTGTCCTTGCGCCCAGGGGACTAAAAAACAGGGTCCTAGCTTGCTAGCGGCTGGACTGGGCGCGTTGGGCCTCGGCCTCATGGCCCTTGTCCCACCACAAAACCCCCACTCACCGCTGTCCGGGATGTGGCGCACGATGTTTCCGGCGACCCCCAGTTCCTCCACGTGGCACGGTCGCAGAGGGTACCCTGTTCTGGCCTCCCGGGGGTCGCGGCGGCGAAACAGGCGCCACATGACAGGAGGCACAGGCCGAGGCGTCGGGATGGCCCGGGGCACTTCGTGCAGCCCGAGAGCCTGGAGCAGGACGGTAGCGGCGGAGCCCGAGGGTGCTGGTGCGCGGGCAGGGGGCGTTGAGGGCAGCAGGAACAGGAGCAGAAAGAGGTGGCAACCCGGGCGGCGGCGGACGGGAAGCATTTTTCTCCCAGGTGGTGTACAAGAGGGTCCACTGCGTCCGGGACCGGTGGGCTGGTGGCCGCAGGTCCGGGGGGGCTTTGCAGTCCTAGAGGGGGCGTGTCCGAACCCCACTGTTCTGGAGGGCAGGAGTGGGCGGCGGTCCCAAGGTGGGTGGTCTAGAGTTAACCTGGAGGGCAGAACTGCTGGCGGCCGGGGGTCCCTGGAGAAGAATCTCATCCTGCATTTTAGGGTGGGGCCGGCGTCCTGGGAGCAAGGCCTTGCCTCCAAAGGCGGGGCCAGCTCCCCAAGTTTGGAAGCAGATCTCCAGGCACTGGGCGGAGTCTCCAGGGGCGGGGTCAGTCTCCCAGGTAGGATGGGAGGGAGTCCTGGGTGGCAGAATTGAGGACAGGGACTCAGAAGAGCTTGTCCTTCATCAGGCCATTCCGCAGCGGCTTCCTGGGGACCGGAAGTCAGAACAGATTAGTTTGGGAACCATATGCTTCCCTCTCCCCGTTGAATAACTTCCCTTCCCCTACTTCCTCCTCCGTGGGGCCCCTCTTCTTCCCAGGTAGGGTCCCTGCCAAGCAGCGCTGCGAGGTTTGCTCCCTGTCTCCCACTCAAACCATCCCTGCTGCGGTCCTGTGTGCCTGCCATACCCCCCCCCCAGAAAAAACGCCCTTTAGAATATTCAGAATTTCTGAGAAAGGTTTGGGGGTTCACCAGTGCTGGGATGGAAGGCATACCTATACCTAGACCACGCTGGGCATATGCTCTACAGCCCAACTGTTTCCAAGACCCAGTTATAGGGAGGTTTTTTATTATTTATTTATTTATTTATTGAGATAGGGTCCCTTGTGGTCACAGCTAGCCTGGAACTCCCTTTGTAGAGCAGGTTGGCCTCAAACTCATGGAGATCACCTACCTCTGCTTCCCCCACGCTGGAATGACTAGAGGCCTGGTCCACCAAGTCAGGTGCTAGAGTTTTTTAATTTATACAGTTAAGTTTCATTCTCTCTGACTCTCACAGAATGGCAGCCTGGTGCCTAAGCAATTCTTGCAGGAGTTCTGGCCAGACTGAGGTTTCCTCAAGAAGGGACGATCCCAGCAGTTTCTGCCCTTCCCCTCCTGTGGCTGGCAGGGGTCCCTGGTGTTCCCACGTGAGGCAGTGCAGGTGTCTGCAGAGGGGCAGTACCCTGGGAGCTGCATTTCCAAACATTTCTCTATACGTGAGTTCTGCAGCAAGAGGGCACTTCCTGGTGTCCGATTTGTTTGCCTCTCCCTCTTAAGCCTTGTAGAAGCCTCTGGAATGTTCTAGAAGCTTTTTCAACATACCCTACCATGTCTTCACAGACCACATTAAAGGTTACACTTCAACACACCCCAAATGAGACTCCTAACAGACCCCTTATGTCTCAGCACATGCAACCTGACCCTGAACCCCATTTAACAAAAACACTAGTTTGAGCCATAAGCCTGAAGTTCACTGATTCTCAGTCTGACACTCTCCCATGCAAGTTGTTCCACTTGGATTTTTCCTTTGTTTGGTTTTGGTTTTTCAAGATAGGATTTCTTAGTATCTATGGAGCCTGTCCTGGAACTCGCTCTGTAGAACAGGCTGGCCTGGAACACCCAGAGATCCGCCTGCCTCTGCCTCCTGAGGGCTGGGATTAAAGGCATGCGCCACCACAGCCTGGCTTCCACTTTGATTTTGAGGTTTTGCCTACATCAGAACAAGACAAACTAGCTTCCACCTGTGGCTCAGTCACAGCCCTGGCAGAGACTTCACACAAGTCCCAGGCCCCTTGACAGATATGGTGCTTATAGTGAGAATGTGTCCCACAGGCTCCTGTATATGAACACTGGGTCCTCAGCTGGTGGCGCTGTCTGGGAGGATTAAAACATGGAGCTTTTTAACCAAACAGTGGTGGTGCAAACCTTTAATCCCAACACTCAAGAGGTAGAGTTCAAGGCCAGCCTGGTCTACACACTGAGTTCCAGGACAGCCAGGGCTACACAGAGAAACCCTGTTGAAAAACCATACACACACACAAAGTGCAGATTTTCAGGAGGAAGTCTTTGAGATCTTTAGGCCTCACCCAATGTGAAGTTTGCTCTCTGGAGTTGAGGGTGTGAACCCCAGCTCTCTGCCCTGGCTACCATAGGGCTTGCTGCCATGACAGAGGCTTAGGAAGCAGCGACTCTATTAGAGCTGGAAGTGAGATCTTTTGAACCATGGCTGTAAGAGCTAAAGCTATGTCTTAAGTTTTAAGTGCTGTGCTTGAGAGACCCGTAAAACAACGCCTCTAACCTCTGAGTCCCGCTTGCCCAAGAACAGATAACTTTCTGGAATACTGGGGGCTGGTTGTTCACGTAAGATCGCAAGCCATATGTCCTCACTTCAGTACACAAGATTGGTTGTCCCAGCTGCACAGGCTGTGACGTCCATCAGGATGTGTGCTTCCCCCAAGTGTGTAGCCTTGTGGGGTCTGCCTTTATAAGCATCAACTAATAGATTTGTGACTATTCTCTGGGAACCCCCAGTATGGACCTAGCCAATGTCCATTGTCCTGGATGGTATTGAATAAAGTTTGCCTCAAATTTGGCTCCAAAGTTGTGTTAGTGGTCTGCTTCTTGCCCGGTGAGATGGACAGTTTCTGGTGAGCTGTGATGGAGACCAGCATCATGGCGGTGATGCAAGTCTTTCCTCAGGGTCAGGACACAGAAGCTGTGGTCCAGAGGGGTCACCTCCCGTGTGGCACCGGTTTTGTAGGCATGAAGGGGCCATGGGCAGCAGCTGATAAGAGGCCACAGTTGAAGGCAGAGAGCACGCCACACTGAGGCCATGGGAACAGAGCAATGCAGAGCACACCCAACATGAACTGAGACACACTGCGTGTGGAAACCCTTTAAAGCCCAGATCGTGAGTGAATCCCAGATTGGGACACTGAGGTACACTGTGGGAATGTGGTTCTGTTCTACTTTGATTGTGTCTGGAGTAAAAAATGTTTAATTTATTTCTAGTTTTACAGGAGTCACAGTTTGGATAATTTAAAGTGTGGTTGAACTAAAAAAAAACACTAAATAATTTAGTAAAAACTAAATTAATTAATTTAATTTAATTTTGTGTGCATTGGTGTGAGGGTGCCAGATCCGCTGGAACTAGAGTCACAGACAGTTGTGAACTGTCAAGTGGATGTTGGGAGTTAAGCCCGGGTCCTCTGGAAGAGCAGCCAGTGCTCTCAACTGCTGAGCCATCTCTCCAGCCCCAGAGTGGTTGGACTTTTAAGTGACGGAATTTTTGTTTGTTTTCTGAGACAGGGTCTCACTTATAAGACTTATAAGACCTGGGACTCACTCTGTAGACCAGGCTGGATTTAAACTCACAGAGATCCGCCTGCCTCTGCCTCCCGAGTGCTGGGATTAAAGTGTGCGCCACTATGCTTACCAAGTGATGAAATTTCTGAAGACTGTGGGTCTTCTCAAAGTTGGACTGTGTTTTATACTGTAACATCAACATGA